GACATTGGCGAGTGAAGCTGATACCAGGGATAGTCCCCCGGGGGGTGGTGGGGGGATGCGGGTGTGAGAGGACGGACAGGTTGGCTGGCTGACTGACAGATAGACAGACAGACAGACAGACAAAATGGATTCGGGAGTAGGGACACTCCTTCTCTCTCCCCCCCCCAATACACACACACATACATACACAAAATTGCGTACCTAGGCGCCCTTCCCCTTCTACGGGCTCTTGACATCACATCACTCTTCTAACCAATTAATAAAATACTTTTGAAAAATGATTATTTGAGCGACGTCTGCCCTTTCATCGGAAACTCCCCTACCCCCCCACACACCCCACGTCGCTGGTGGTGACTGCTCTGAGCTGTCGGAGTGAAGTGAAGTTATTCGTGTCCAGCTCCGAAACCCACCGCCACCGCCACCAACGCCACCGCGGTTCCGAAGATCATAAAGAAACACACACACACACACATACACACACACAAACACATACACACATGCAAACACTCCTCCTTCATGTCATGTCCCATCCCCCCCAACCGGAAAGACGCAAGGCCACCGGAGGCTCCCTCCTTCCCGCCTGGTCTCGCCTGCCCGCCCGACCCACGACGCGTCATACATCGCCCCGGTGTGGTGGTGTGTGTGTATGTACGGCCACAGGATGTGGAGCTGCCGGACGGTGTACGGCTGGGCAGTGCTTCCGTACGAGGTGTCATGTCCGGCAGTCATTTGGCCCCCGCGGTGGACTTGACGACGGAGGCCCCGGCAGCCAGGATTGCGGGCTCGGCATCATTCGGTCAAAAGGTACCCCCCCCTCCCCCCTACTCCTGGTACACTCTTGCCCCGGCAGCAACTTCACTCGTTCACGTGGTTCGTCTTCCCCCCCGGCCCCCCCCCGCCCGTTTGAGTATGGCCTAAAAGGGAATCCGCCTGAGAACTTCTGGAAGTGCGAAACCCACTTGAAGAATGAATGCCCTTTCCCCTTTATTCTCTCTTATCATCCCGCCGGTTGTGCACCCGTATGTATATCCGCTGGTATTTGAATTGCCCAAACTTTTTCGCCGGGGGTTTGCGTGATTGCGGGTTCCAGGCGATTTCTCTGAGCGCCCGCAGCCCCGCCTTCTCCGTGGACGGTACCGTACACACCAGCCTGCCGTACTTGGACGAGCTCAGGGCCTCCGACACGCAGGTACGGTCGGGTGCAAACGTGTTGGTTTGTATGTTTGTATGTTCTTTACCACCTCCTTTCATTTTTATGTTCTTCCTCGGAGCTCGGGTTGTCCGTCCCCTTCTCTCTCCCCTTCCCCCCCCCACACATACACACATACACACATACACACATACACACACACACCGTCTGGATCCAATCTCCAAACAGGCCGAGGCCACCTACTTCGCTCGTCCTCGCTTCCTGGGTGCGGATCTGGAGCTCCACTGCGCCGCCCCTGGAGCAGACCTGTTGCCCCTGGCCACCGGGCCCACCACTCCGCCCCCCTTCGACCCCCTGGCGGCCAACCAGCCGCTGCACCTGCGGCTGGCGGGACATGCGAAACTGGCGCTCAGGCCGGCGGCGGCGGCGCCAGCGGCGGCGCCAGCGGCGGCATCACTGCATTTGGCGACGAGGGGCGGGCAGCAGCCGCCGCCGCCGCCGCCGCAGCAGCAGCGGCAGGTGGTGGCAGTGGTTGCGCCAGCGGCCCCGCCGCCCCGGGTGCCTGATGGCCCCAGGGTGGGAGGGCCCAAGAGGTTTGAGGGTGAGAGCTTGTGTGGTGTTTTGGATGGATGTTGGATGCGGGCTGACACGGCTGCGGGAAGTACTGCTGGAGTGGTGGTTGTGGCTTCTGTGCTCTGGGGCAGGTGTGTATGTATGTATGTATGTGTGTGTGCGTATGTATGTATGTATGTGTGTATGTGTGTGTGGAGAGGCAGGTCCTGAACTTCAACGGGAAGTCCATCCCCGTGGTGGTGAGAACCCTTCCCCCGTTCGTATGGCGGGCGTACCTCTGCATTACGCGGCGCTGCCGTACAGGTACGATTAGCCTGTCGGGGATTCGAGTCAACTCGTTGGAGCTCGTACGGAGCCTGTCCGGCAGCGCCGCCATCGACGGCGAAGCGGGAACCGTTGCCGTACGAGCTCGCGGTCCTGGTGCCGCCGGTGCCGCCGCCATCGGAACGCATACAGGGGCCTTATCGAGCGGTGGTGCGCCAGCGAGTACGGCAGCGGCACCGCCAGCGGCGGCCGGCGGCGGCAGCAGTGCGGGGCCGCTGGCGGCGGATGTGCTGGACTTCGAGCTGGCGGTGAGTCTTACTGTACGGCACGTTGTACAGCTCTGTTGCATGGGGGCTGATCCTGGCAACCAACCCCTCTTAGCTGCACATCCCGGCAACGGGGAAGATGGACTTACATACGTACATACATACGTACATACACACATACATACTAGGGTTTGGCACTACTGGTAAGGCGCGACCATTGCCCCCGGGTGATCCCGGGATCGATACCCATTAGGGTCAAAAGTCCTTCCGATGGTGGAAGGCATTGCGCCCCTAGTTGATGGACGGTGGTGACCTGGGATAAAGTTAACCTGCGAGCCAACCAGGAATGGAGTTGACCCTGTCACTGTTGACCCGGCAGATTCCGTTGGATGCCGGTGGTGGGTGCGGAACCTGAGCGATCCACTGAGAAGTTGACTAGGGTGACTGGATGAGGGTGCCCCGAAATACCGGGGAAGGCAGGGTTTCGCAGGGTAGCTGCCACGGGCGGAGATACACCCCCTGTTTCACACATCATACACGGGTACATTGTGGGGTGATAAAGATGGGATGATGGTTTTGCCAGTTGCATCTGAGGGGCAACTCCACCGACTGGAATTACTCTTTTCCCCCCACCACACACACACTTTACCCGCTTCTTACCCCTCACCCCTCCTAAACCCCTATACACACCTACATACATACACACATACAATACATACAAATACATAAATACATACAGATACCCGACCTGATGGCCGCCCTCAATCTGGAAGCCGCCGGACTACCCCCGCCAGCCGCGATCTACACCCCCCCCGCAACATCCCCCCTCGCTACAACCACTACTACTGCCACCACCACCACCACCACCAGCCCTTCCATCAATCATGGCAGTAGCAGCCGAACAGCTTCAGCACGGACCCAACGGTCATCGACATCATCATCGTCATCGGCAGCAGCAGCAGCCCATCATGCAGGCTCCCCTCCCCCTCCCCCTCCCCCTCCTCCCCAAACGGGGCCGCCCCTGGAGGGGACTGACAGCCGATTCCTCCTGAGGCGGGGACCGCTGCTGTTGGAGGTAGGGGTGTGCGTATGCGTGCGTGAATGGATGTTTGTTTGTTTGTTTGTATGTGCGTGCTGGGGAGGCCGGGAAAGGAGGGGGAAGGTTGCGGTTTCCCCGGCAGGAGCGCCCAAGGGTGCTGCGTCCTGACGTACACACCCAAACACACCCACACACACCCACACACCCGCACACACCCGCAGGCAGAGGTGGTCAGCGGCGGCGCCGAAGTGTCGTTACAGGTAATGGACCCAACCCATGTAGCGGCGCGGAAGTAGCGGCGCGGAAGCCTCCCCCCCCTTCTCCCCCTTCTCCCCCTTCTCCCCCTTCCCCCCTCCCCTCGGGGGCCGGCCGTACCGCCCTTGGCGCCACCACCACCACCACCTTCCGGACGAGTGCGAGTTTTGTGTTTTTAGTGTGTTCATGAGAAGCTCCCCTTACAAACTGAAAAGACATGCAAGCAATGGTAAAAGAGATAGGCTTCATGAAGGGGTAGGGCCGGCGGGTGCGGGCACACACCACCCAGGAGCGACAAAACAAGGCGTACAGACCACAAGCCTACCTATGCGCTTCAGGACCTTCAGTACCCCCTAATATCAGAGCTTAGCTCTACACAAAACACGAATTAACCAAACAGCAGCACCGTCGCGCTCACAGCGACACAACAACAGGCACAACGCCATCAGGCCGTACAGAATCCATTCTGAATTCACAGAATACCCTAGTTTTTAAGCGCTCCGCTGGAAAACTAATATAAGATATACATACATATATACATGCACATACATAGAGCCCACGCGCCCTCCCTCCTAACCCGCCAATACACACGTACACGTACACTCAGGTACACACTCACACACATACATACATACACACATACATACATACATACCTGGATCGGGACCTGTCAGGGTCGAAAATCCTTCCGATGGTGGAAGGTAAAGCGCCCCTAGTTGATGGACGGTGGTGACCTGGGATAAAGTTAAAGTGCCGGATCGACAGCGGCCCGGCAGATTCCGTTGGATGCTGGTGGTGGGTGCGGAACCTGAGCAATCCACTGAGAAGTTGACTTGGGTGACTGGATGAGGGTGCCGAGAAATACCCGCGGGGAAGGCAGGGTTTCGCAGGGTAGCTGCCACGGGTGAAGATATGACCCCCCTGTACCACACACATACATACACACACATACATACATACATACACACACCTCCGCGAATTCCCGCACCTCCCGTCCCCCTCACCGTGACGCCACTGGAGGCATTTGAATTTGTGTATCGGCATATCAGTAGTGTCTGTACGGCGAATCAGCATTGTCTGTACGGCATATCTCAGTGCGTACTCTCCCTCCCCCTCCCCCTCCCGGGCCCCCCCCACACCGCTTCACAACCAACCACCAACCACCTCTCCAACCACCTCTCCAACCAACTGCCTAGATCGCCAACCTGCAGCTCGACGACCTGGAGGGCGGCTCCCTCCGGGGCATGTTGAGATCCGCCCGTCTGGCTGCTGACGTGGCGGGCCGGAGGGGCCGCGGCAGCTGTACGGCAGAGGGGCTGCGGCTGAGCAGTTTGGCAGTTGGCAGTTTCGGGGGGGCGGTTAGGTGGGAGGGGGATATTGTGAAGCTGGAGGAGACGGTGTTGGAACAGCAAGGAAGCAGGTGCGCGTCTGTCTGTCTGTATGTATGTATGTCTGTTTACGGGGGGGGAGAGAGGAGGGGGGGTTTGGTTTCCGAGGGCGGGGGGGCTAGTAGCTGAACTGGGGTTGGGAGGGGGTTGGGAGGGTTGGGGCCTAAAGGAAACGTGTGTGTGTGTGTGTGTGTACTTCAATAAGCGCACCCGGACATGCAAGTACCCATAAATGCGAGGAGGGGGAAGAGCGCGCTTGTGTATGCCTGCATGTGCAATGCGGTGGAGTGTAATTTTTCCTGACGTTCTAACTTCTGAAATATTTATACCGGCCAGTCATTAGCCCGTACATTTTTATTAATCTGCTATTTTTTCTCGGTTAATATGTTCAAGACAGATTAGATTGTATAGCTAGTGTAAAAAGTAAAATGTGCGTGTGTGCGTGTGTGTGTGTGTGTGTGTCTATCCATGACCGTCCGTACTTGGCTGTCCGTACTTGACCGTCCGTACTTGGCTGTCCGTACTTGACCGTCCGTACTGACCCCATACACGCAGGTACGAGGTCTCCGGTGAAGTGTTCCTTCCAGGGTTTGGAGCCCCAACTACACCACCACCATCACCGCCCACCACCACCACCACCACCACCACCACCAACAACAACAACAACAACAACAACAACAACAACAACAACAACAACAACAACGGCACCGCCGCCTCCGCCGCCGCTGATTCACCCCCAACCACGCTAACCAAGACAACCGGAAACGCGCCGACACCTCCTCAGCCATCCCCATCGCAGCTGCCGGCGCTGACGTCAACGCTGTCTACGGCGGGTAGACGGCGTGGCGGCGATGGCAATGGTACGGCAGACGAGGTCGATGCCGTGACGGCGGCGGTGGCGGTGGCGGCGGCGGCTACGGAGGAGGAGGAGGAGGTTGCGCCGCCGGACTGCCGCTGGCGGCTACAGGTACGGCAGGCTGACCGAACTTCGGAGCTATGTTTTGTGGATACGGCGTTTTTGGTATCCTTGACGGCAGTACGGATTGTACGACGGTCGTATTGGGCCCCATGTCGTATTGAGTTTGTAGTGAGAGGCCCCTGCTCCCGCCGCGGGCTGAGGACGACGAGATGTTAAGATGCCGTACGGGTGGAGTGTGCCGTACAAGCTCGTGGCCAGGTTGTGCGCCGCTCGATCCCTTTTCCTTTCCCCCGCCGTACACACACATACACACGGAAAATGCACGGGTTCCCCTTCTCCCCCCGACCTTCGCCACTGCCTATCGAGCAGGTCAACGTACCCTCTGCCCAGATTTCGGATCTGCTCCCTGCCGTACAACTCGCAACGAGCGCTAGCCGGCCGGGAACAGACTACGGCGCCGCCAAGGCCAGATTCCTGGACGCCATTCAGGTGTGCCGTACAATGCACGCATAACGGATCTGCCGTACTGCCGTACATGGAGCTGTCGAACGGACACAATACTTAGGTAGCTTAAATAATTTTATATATTGCTCTGATGCGAATATCAATGACATATGTACATACATACGCATACACATACATATATACACGTATACGTATATGCACACACATGCACAGACACACAGACACACAGACACACAGACACACAGACACACAGACACACACGGCTTCATCTTTCCTCCCAACTCACCCCCCTGGCCCCCCTGGTAATATTCTGCTGGTGGTGCATGTTTACAGTCCGGGGCGGCATCGGCCATTAGCCCACCGGATGTACGGCTACAGGTACGGCGGTGTACTACGTACGAACTATTGTAAAAATTGTTGCTGAGGTTAACCAATTCCCTCTTTCCCCATGTTCACGTGTGTATTGTGTCGTACATTCTCCCCCAAATTCTCCCCCCCATTACATCCCCAACTGACTTCATAGCCCCTACTACTACAGGCTCAAAATCCCTTTCCTTCGCCCATAAAAAACAACCTCGTGCTCGTGTCTGTCTGTCTGTCTGTCTGTCTGTGTGTCTGTCTGTCTGTCTGTCTGTGTGTCTGTCTGTGTGTGTGAACATCGCATCTGACCAGGCCTGGCCTTATGCATGTTTGTGCCAAATATGTGTGTTTATTTGCAGCTGTGTATTCGCCCCCCCCCTCACCCCCCTCAAACCTCCTCCCCACCATCGCTAGGTGGATCTCTACAGCCGGCTGCCGAGCATCCTTAGAGCCGCCCCCGCAGCCACCGCACCGAAGATCTGGCGTACTGCTGCTACGGACACCTCGTCCGCCGGCTCCGCCTCTTCGCCCGCCGCTGCTGCCACCGCCACCGCCACCGCCACAGGAGCACCACCCAGTACGGCACTGGGTACGGCACCGGTGGTGGTTGGCGGCAACGGTGCGGTTCCTGCGCTTTCAGAGTTGTCGGGGGAGTGGTCGGGGGGCATTCAGGTGAGCTCGGGGGGGGGCCGGGGGGAAAGGTCGTACGGGTATTGGAACTGCGTGTGGGGGAGGATGCAGGCGGGCAATGCATTCCGGGGGGATTCCTGTACGATGCCTATACGGCACGTACGGCACAGTCATGCCACATCGCGTCCTCTTCACTTATCTTCACTATCACCCTAGTTCCCCTTTGTTAGTAACCTATCTCCGTTCGTACTCTCCCTGCCTCCTGTCGTACGCGGTGCAGCTGTACGGCGGCCTTTCCGGTCCCAGCGCGCTGGAGTTCTCCTTGGCGGGTCGGGAGTGGCGGTGGGGTCCCCGTTATCGGTTAGATCGGTTGGTGGCGGTTGGTTCGGCGGATGCGGCTGAGGGGGTGGCGCTGGAGGAGCTGGCGGTGGATGCGGGTATGTCTGTATGTGTGTGTGTATGTGGTGGGATGGCGTGTGTGTGTATGTGTGTGCAGCGGGGTTAGGAGGCGTTACGTGTATGATATCTACAACACGTACCGTTTTCCAGTAGTTGTCGGTTTGTGCTTAGCTTCACCGTAGCACGTGGTTCCCGGTTGCAGCTTCCCCCGCGTGCTCCTTCGCGTGCTGTGTTTTGTGTTTTACCCCTTCCCCCTCCCCCCCCGAGGTCTTCCCCCCCCCCCGGCCCCGCGCAGGCCCGGCCCGGCTCCGCGCCGCTGGCTCCCTGCTGTGTCCCCGTCAGGAGGCCCGTCTGGCGCTGTACGACTTCCCCCTGGACGCCTTCGCGCCCCTCACCAGCACCGCCTGGCCGGCGCTGGAGCGGGCGGCGGCGGCCGCCAGGGCGAGGGGGGCGGCACAAGCGTCACCGCTGTCGGGTATGTCTGTCTGTTTGTATGAATTTGTATATACATACAGATTTCC